GAGAAACGTTGTGGCAGGTTCACATAGTCACAGTATGATTATAGCGATTCACCTAGGGAGATAACAATTCATAAAGTTTACGGGATTTCATAAAACCTAAGTAGGTTTTAGGTTGATTTAAAAATTCACTTTCCAATTCAATTCAAACTCACGACATTTCTACTAAGTAAGAATGATTTCTTATACATTTTGGTCTTTAGTTATAAGGCTACATTATACGGATTTTAAGAAAAATATCGGATTTTTCTGAAACAAACGCGACATTTACATGTGAAAGACTTCTACTAAGTTTTATAATAAAAGCTTATGAACTCACCAACCTTTGTGTTGACACTTTTCAAACAACTTGTATTCTCAGGAAATCACTAAACAGGTAATCAAGTGCTTTTGAGGATGGGACGTTAAGGCATCAAACTTTTCATATTTTGTCAACATATTGTAATTGATTTTGAAACATGTAATTCATACAAGTGATGTAACTTTTTCAATTATATATATGTTGGTTGTGTTTGCTTAAATTACTATTGAAATTGTGGTTATGATACTATACATGAAGTCCTCCACCCCCGGACGTTTCCGCCATCCTTGGTTTGGGGGTGTGACAATATGCCACGTGAGCTACACTACATTTCTACCACTAAATCACTAGCCATTGGAAATGGTTACCACTCCTTTGTATTTATCTTCTTTTTTTTTAACATTTGAATAAATTAAAAAAAAAATATTAAACAAAAATGCTAATTAACGACACATTACGTTAACTAAAAACACATAACTTTAAATCCTAACTTACTTAAAAACATATAAAACTAAAACCTAAATTACTGAAAAAAAAAAACATAAAAAAAAAAGAATATTACTTGTCGTCGTTGTCATCCTCGTCGTCGCAGACCTTGTTTTAATCATCAGATTCCTCATTCTCCTCCTCCTCGATATTGTTTTTTTAGAATTACCTTTGCCATATGTGCTAAGTCAAATCATCGCATAGATTGTGATGTGTTTCACTGCTTTGTATTTCCAGTAGTCTTGTGAAGTATGTCGGGTTGCCAATTTGTATTACTGCAGGTGGATTAAGTATGTCGTCCGAAATATAAATACAAATTGCCCTGACCTCTTCTTCTATTTCCATGTTATATAAAATAACACAAGCTATCAACACCTTAGTTAACTTTTCCGTATCCCATGCTCGTGCCAATTGTTTGATTATGTGCCACTTTTGTTTAAGGACCCACAAACGCCTGCTCCACATCCTTCCTTGTCGATACTTGTGCTAACTTGAACAATTTTTTTTCATCAGTCGGATATGAGTATGATTTGAAAAACATAGCATACTCTGGATATATCTCATCACCAAGGTAATACCCATAATTATATTGACGCCCATTCACAAGGTATGACATGTTTGGTTCTTTACCCAACAAAATTTTATTAAATAGTGGAGACACTCCAAGAACATTCAGGTCATTGTTTGACCCCATCATACCAAAGAATGCATGCCAAAACCATAGGTTCAGTAAAACAACCACCTCTAGTATAATAGTCGGCACGCCATTATCATCTCGCGTGAATTGAGCTCGCCATGCATTAGGATAATTTTTCTCACTCCTAATGTGTACCGTCAAAGCTATCAAGCATTCATGGAAAGCCATGTTTAACTTCATGTGCAACATACAACTGTTCGACATCACTCTTAGTCGGATGTCGCAAGCATATGTCACCGTAAAACTCTATAACATACTCACAAAAAAGATAGGTACATTCTCGACCCGTCCTCTCAGACATTTTCAAATACTCATCTGATGCGTCTTCGACTATACCGTATGACAATTGTCTAAGAGTTGTTGTGTATTTTTGTATTGTATTAAAACCACGTTTACCTCTAGCATCCCATCTTAATTGAAAAAAATCATATTTTTTGGCCAAATCTCTAGCTATACGTATAATTAAATTTCTACTAAAACGAAAACTATATTCAATTTTCGATAGGTCATATAAACTATCATGGATAAAGTAATCACATACAAAAAAGTTCGTGTGTCATGATACAATTTCAGTTGATTGAAATTCTACACTTCTTCTCGACATTTGAACTTTCACCTCGTTGATGCACCATGTCGCATGTCGTGGACAACATGTGCAAAACTAACTTATCATCATCAATTGAAGAAGAAGAAATTGAACCCACAAAATTTTTAATATTGTTTGAAAGTGTGTCTGTTTTTTTGAATATATATAAATATATATTAGGGGTGTGCATAAAACCGTATAAACAGTCTGCATCAGATAACACGGTTTAAAACTAATGTGATATGGTTTACGGTTTCCAATCATAAAACCGCAGTTCAAACCGCAACGCATAACATATATATATATATATATATATATATATATATATATATATATATATATATATATATATCCCTATACTAATAAAAGAGTTGTTCTTTGCCATGTGTTATCATATTAGAACTCTTAGGTAATCTGTTGTCACTTGTCAATCTATTACTTCTTTATTTTAAATGTATTAGACCTTCTCATTAATGTGATGTTATTTGTCAATATATTTATTCTTTACTAGTTTATAAACCGTGAAACCACGACTACAAAATTAATTAAACTTTAATTGTTAGAACACAAAATTATTAATCAATTATATTCTCTACTAGTTTATATTTATTCTCTACTAGTTTATAAACCGTGAAACCACGGCTACAAATTTAATTAAACTTTAATAGTTAGAACACAAAATTATTAATAAATTATAATCGTTAATTTAAATAAATATGTGGAATTATTTCGCCTTATACTGTGTATTAATTTTATTTTAATTTTTATTCCATTGTTATTAATATATTGTAATTAAAAGGAAAATTTAAAAATTTGAAATAGAGAATTAATAGGTTGATAAGTAGCATTCATTAATTAATAGGTTTAATAGGGTGACACATAGCAAAAAAAGAATGAAATGTGTATTAATTAGGAGGTCTAATACATTTAAAATGGAGAAGTAATAGATTGACAAGTGACAACACATTAATTAAGAGGTCTAATATGATGATACATGGCAAAAAAACTACTCTTTTATTAGTATATATATATATATATATATATATATATATATATATATATATATAGGAGGTCTAATATGATGACAAATATCAAAAGGAGATTAAAACTATAATTTTATTAGATTAGAATAGAGATTTAATTAATGAAGAAAAACCTTAGAATGACAAGTAGCAAATAATTAATTTGAAGCTCTAATTGATTGACATGTGGCAATTAGGCTACTCTTTTATTAGGTAGGGAGATTTTTAATTTAAATTTAAACTTTCAATTTTATATTATTGTTTTCATTAATTCACAAATAAAAAATGTTTAATATATATTAAAAATTAATTTTACATATTTATTTAAATCAACGATTATAATTTCACATAACTAATAAAAATATTTGTTACTTAATAATTTATTTAAAATAATTGATTAATAATTTTAAATTTTTACTAAAAAAAATTTAATTAATTTTATAACCATGTTTCCACAGGTTATATATATATATATATATATATATATATATATATATATATATATATATATATATATATATATATATATATAGTAAGGTTATAAGATGACATGTATTGTATGGTCGTTGGAACAACTCCGGACCAATGGATAAAAATAATGAACAGTTATGATCTTAGGGTCCGTACTATTAAAATGGAATAACATGTAGTATATAATTATATAGATTTTATTAAAGGGTATTTTAGTCAAATAAAATGAATTTAAAAAAGTAAAAATCCGAATTTTAAGAGAGAATTAATTCTCCCATTTTAAAAAAATCTAATTTTTAAAATTAATTCGCATAATTTTTTATTAGTTTCGATTTATTTTTAAAGAATATGGTTTTATTGATTATATATATTTTTTAAGAACTAACATTCTTAAAGAGTATTACATCATATATAATCAAAAATAACAATTTGTATGAAAAAAATTCTATGAAAATGACATTCTAATCAACTTTTTATTTTTCTTAGAAAACAATTAATGGAAGAATTTAATACACAAATTCTTTTTTTAACTAATAATATATCAAATGATTATATGATAGGAATGTGATACAAGAAAAATATTCTTAAAGAATAAAACATTCTCAAAGAATTACAACATTATGAAAAAATAACAAATGCAATTCTTAAAGAATAAGTGCTTATACTTTAATCCTTCTTCAAGCCATTAGCTCTTAGCTTCTCTTCCCTGTAAAAACAAGAAGGTACAAAAAAACACAAAATTATTACACGAACCTCTAAAATATTAATAAAAGAACGCGATAATATTGATTAAATAAAAAATAAAAAAACTAACGAAACAAAAACACCAAACCAAATAGATGTACAAATCTCCTCATATTTATCATGTTGTATCTCTTTGAAACACATATACGAAAATGTGACTTTGTTGTGTCATGGTTTTTTTGGAATTCATGCCACATATATGATTTATATTAAATGCTTAAAGGAATATGATCTACGAAGTGTAAATTATATATGAACGATTCGAAAATTTAAATAAAACAATTAATAGTAATGTAATTTGTATGAAACGATAACTAGAAAAAAGAAAAATTAATTCACGAAACTAATAGAACCTACTTTAATTCTATATTTTTTAAAAGATTTGGTTAAATGAACACCCCATTTTACCATTTAGGCACCCTATATAATTTTTAAGTTGTTTATAAATTATATAATTTGATTCAATTTCATGCTGATTGATTAGATGAGTAAAAGAGTAAAAATCACTTTCCTTATCTTCTGCAAAAGCAAAAGGCACGCAGCCCTAAAGAACTTGCCTCACCAGTGCCTCCTCCATTGGGGAATAAATTTATCATTCTTCACCTTTTATACGTAGCCTCTAATAAAAAAAATCGAAACATAGCAGTGGCAGTGAGGGTACATAGATAATACAGGAGGATTGCTTGGTTGCGGTGAATGGTTAACATTGCTCGCATGAGGAAGACGGTGGTGATCGGCTATGGTGATGAGCAAATGATATTTTGATGAAGGGGAGGGAAGTTGTGAAGACACCCTAATTTAAAGAGTGGCCCATAGATGATGATACGTTCATATATTTGATGAATGATTTTGTAGATAGGATTTTATAAACGAATTAGTTTATAACATGAGAATCATAGTTATAAATTTAATTAAATTTTAATAATAAAAAATCAAAATTATTAAACACTAATTTGAAATAAATTATTAATCAAGAGACTTTTTTAAATTATATAAAATTATAATAATTGATTTAAAAAATATATAAAATTATATCACTTTATAATTTAGATTAATTTTATTTTAATTTTTATTGTAATATTATTAATTTAATATAATTAGAGTGGAAATTTAAAATTTAAAATTTAAAATGGATAATCAATTGGTTGACAAATGACATGCATTAATTATGAGACATAATAAGGTGACACATAACAAAAGAAAAAATAAAATATGCATTAATTATAAGGTCTAATATAGTAACACATGTCAAAAGAAAAATAAAACATTCTTTTATTAGAATAGGGAGACTGATTCCTAAAATAATGGCATATTGATTATTAATTTTAGATATCCTCCTTAACTAATCATTCTCAATAGTTCTCCTTTAATTTGATAAATATCAATTTGTGATAATTTTGAATTATTTTTTTTTCCAAATATCATTATATGGATTTTCTTATTTTATTAAATTTCATACTAGTTGTGAAACTCATTTATTATATGGGTTAATTTAAAAAAAAAATTAAATATAAAAAATCAAAATATTTGAAAACTTTAAATTTATAAAAAAAATTAAAACAAATAATGAATTATTATAATGGAAATGTTTTTATCTTTTAAATTTAAATAAATAATTTAAATAAAAAAAAAGAAACTAGTGAGCTTTAATTTTGGGGATTTTGAAATTAAAAAGTAAGTTTATTAATAAAATTAATATCCATTTATTACTTTATTTTTTGCAATTATTACATTAAAATATTATATAAAGTTTAATAAAATAAAAATAATAATAAAATCGCACGTGGAAAAAAAAATTTAATTCAAAATAACCATAAAATGACATTTGGTAAATTGAATAATAGTATGATAAGTGGCAAAAAAACTTTCATTTTGTTAGAGAATATAATATTTTAATGCAATAATTGCAATAAATATGATAATAAATGGACCTCAATTTTATTAACAAACATATCTTCTAATTTCAAAAATTTAAATTAAAGTTTATTAGTTTCTTTTATTTATCCATTTAAATTATTTGTTTAAATTTAAAATATAAAAAACATTTCAATTTTAACAATTCATTATTTCTCTTTTTCTTATAAATTCAAAGTTCTCAATTATTTAGACCTTCACATTTAACTTTTTTTTTTTTTTTAAAATTAACCCATGTAATATATGGGTATTACAACTAGTTAATTAAGATATAGGTGGTATTACTTATTTACCCTTATTGTAATATATGTATACCACAACTAGTTAATTAACCCATGTAATAGATGTTCGTTCACACAATATGAACCTACCCCTCTGTGTGTGTGTGTGTGTGTGTGTGTGTGTGTGTGTGTATATATATAGGGTTAGGTTATTTTGTTTCTAATAATTATTGTGTGCCAGAACAAAATAAGGGTCTATGGGACCCATTTTCCAATAATGAACTTGTGTTTTCAGAAAACTTTGATGATAATCAAAGTAGTGGAGTGTCAAATTGTAATAATCAGGATGGTGATACAGTTGTTGATCAATCATCAGGTGCAACTGATGTAGGTATTGATGGTAGTCCTAGCTTAGATGCAACTATATCTCATCAGGTAGGTACTCTTTGTTGTGAAGCTTCTGGTTCGCAACCTAAGATTGTTGCATTGGACTCCACTAGTAGTTCTGAGAAAAATCTTAATAATAACAATACTATTTTTGATTCTCTGTTGATAGGGGTTAGAAAGTCTAATTGTGAATCTAGATTCCCTCAAAAATTTAATGATTTTGTTATAGAAGGAAAGTATATAAATATGGAATTGAATGATCTGTTAATTACTCTTTTCTTAGTCTTGATAATAAATGTTTTGCAACCAATTTAAATAAAATAAATAGAACCATATTCTTATTATCAAGCTTCCTTAGATCCGAATTGGGTAAATGCTAATGAAGAAATTGAAGCTTTGTACATAAATAATACTTGGGAAATTTGTGATTTACCTGTTGATAGAAAAGCGATTGGTTGTAAATGGATGTATAAAATAAATTATAAATCTAATGGTGAAGTAGAAGGTTTAAGGCAAGGCTTGTAGTTGGGACTCAGGAAAACACGATGTGTTTTCAAGTCAACACGATATGTTGAGTCAACATGGACTGTTAACCTTGGCCTTTGACTTTGATGAAGTTGACCTAAAGGGTATTTTGGTATTTTGGCATTTTGATGGTTATTGGTCACTTGGATGGATAGGTATCGGTTGGATCTGATATTCGGAGTCGGGGCCTCATCAGATATGCATTGGATTGAGAGCTGAGTTTTTCCTCACTGTACTTGCGGGTCGAAGGCACCAATGCCAACCCATTATATTGATATCCTGCTATATATGCTAGTATGTTGTTGTGATATTTTAGATCAGTATCGTGGTAGATAGGATGTTGCTATGTTGTAGTGATTTGTTAGATTGGTATCCTGGTAGATAGGATGTTGTCATGCTTAGTGATCTGTAGAGTTGCTTGACTGGCTGTAGACCATTATGTGATTATATATTATATGTGCACATGTTTGGTCGGTGGTTGGGGCTTCACTTCTTTGCACGTAAGACAACAGGCCAAGGGCATACTAACCCAACGGTTGAATGGGCCCGAGGGTATTCCATCCCGAGGATGATTAGACCCATAGTATGTTGGCATTCGAACTCGATGGTTAAGGGGCTTGGGGTATTCCAGCTCGATGGTTGATTTGACCCATAGTATGTTGGCATTCCAGCCCGATGGTTGAGAGGACTGGGTTATTCCAACCCGATGGTTGATTGAACCCATAGTATGCTATTATTTGTTGGTATATGTTATTTGTTTGTGTGGTGGTATTTTGGGGGAACTCACTAAGATTTGTGCTTATAGTTTTGCTTTATGGTTTCAGGTACTTTAGTGGACCGTGCCAAGGTGAAGGCGTGACCATACAAATCCTTGGTTTTATAACTGATTAGATCTTAGGAGACTTTGATTTTAAATAATGTTTTGGAAACAATGGTTTTGTAAACACTTTTAATAGTAAATGGGTTGTTTTGAAAAGTTTAATATTGTAGTCATTTGGGGATGTTACAATAAAGTTAAATAATCATGGGATAATCATATCATTAGTTGATATGTTAGAATCTAACAACATTTTAAAACTTAAAGGGTCAAAAGTGCTAAGTTGGAAAAATAAGTTGACTAGAGGGTTGACTCAATTAATCTAAAGGACTACAAAAGTTATATAATGGATAGAAAAGGAAGTTTTATGTAAAAACTTAATATTAAATCACAAAATAGGAGTTTATGGTGGAAATTGGCAAAATGAGCAAACTTGAAGGACCAAATGGTAAAATTTTGGAAAATAAGATGCATCCTTCTTCCCTTATTCATTAGAACGTGTTTTTCAAGAAGCATGAAGTGAAATGGTGATTCAAGATCAATGGAACCCCTAGGAGTCAATCTCAAGCCGTCTTGGTTCATTTGGTGCAATTTGTGAAGAAATCAAGTGGTTCAAGGTATACTTTCTTCCTCCCTTAATGTACAATTTGAGTTTCATCTATGGATTATGAGTTATATATGATTTTCATCTCATTTGAGGATTAAGGATTGTTTTTCTATCCTCCCTTGAGTGGTTTCCAAGGTTCTAATCTCAATCCAATCATCCCATTGATGCATTTGATGATTTAGGTAAAAAGCTCCATGAACCCTAGAAATCTAATTTGAGGATTTTGTAATTGATGATGAAATTAGATTGTATTCTATGATCTATATGATGTTTGATGATAATGAATCCAACTGCAAGGCTCAAACACATCTATGATGGTAGAATATTACATAAACATGGCTTTTTAGATGGATTTGGGAAAGATATGATGATGTCAATGTATTTTATGCATTAAGGTATGATTGTTGAGAAAATAAAGTTCATAACCATGAATTGATGCTATTAGAATGCTTTGGAAAAAAAAATATGTGTTGGTTGATTATTGGATGAATGCATGGATTTTGTACTCATAAAGGCATTTTGGGAAACTTATGAATAACTAAATGATAGTTGACATCTAAGAGGTAAATGACATTCATTAACATGAATTGGCAGTCTAGAGATGAAATTGGAATATAAACATGAAAGGATGATAGTGAAGTTCTAGCATTAGTGATCGTTTTGGCCCAAAGGGAAATTTGGGAAACATGGAATGTAATTTAGGATTCCCAGTTAATCTATGTACTTATAATGAGATTAATGGTGGTTTTATATTCTTGACAACTTACATAGGAGTATTCAATGAATTAGGAACAAACTATGTGATTTTTAGATGTGTAATTGGAAACTAGACTAGTTAGCTCTCCATTTAAAGTTTGAGGATCTCTATGTTCTTAAGATGTTTCAATAAGCCCTTAATGGATTAAGAGGAGTATTTTAATATGATAAAACATATCCTAAACATGTGTGAGAACCTAACCAAGTGCTATAAAGTCAATTGGAATGACGCTTCAAGAGTTATGTAAAGTACAGTACCATTATGTGAAAAATCACATTTTATGTCTGCAAACCTCATTAGACGGGTTGTGTAATGGCAAGGCAACCATTATGCGGGTCATGTTTCTTTCTGAGCAGTGCGATTCTTTCATAACTTTTGTATATGGACTCGGGTTTACGCACGGTTTTCGCCTATATTCAAATTTTTGCATAAGGAATGAGATGGAACAATAAAATTTAGTAATGAAACCCATGAGGGGTATTTTTTTCACTTTAATGACTTATGACCATGTTATATAGGTGATGTTTGAGAGTGTTGTTCCAAGGAAAGAAACTAGAAGAGAACTAGCTAACCTACAGATGATTGGGGTGAGTACGTATAGGAATTTTTCCACTTTGGAGTACATGGAAAAATGATTTTATGATAATGAAATACCAATGATTTGATGTACCAAATGTTTTTAAATGAAAGTATTACATTCTTTTTAAAGGAATGTTTTGAATGCATGTCTTAAAAGGAAGAATGTTTTGAAAGAAAAGAATACTTTTAAAGAACGAATGGTTTGATAATAAGTTTGAAAAGTTTGAATTATAGATGTTTTACTTTTGAAATGATTATTTTGATATTAACGTATGAAATGTATAAAACATGGAAAGTGATGATAAGAAACAGAAAGTAATAACAAGAAACAGAAAATAATGACAAGAATTTGAAAGTAATAATTAAAATATCACTACTAGAATACATACCTTTAATCATGCGCGAACAATGATACATAGTGATTTACAATATGCATTTTTGCGTGCCCTAAAAATAATGTCAGCTTTCCTAAAATCAAAGGGTTTTTTTCATATTACTATTCCAATTTTTTTGTTCATGTTTGGATTTTAGACAAATGGCGTCCCTGAACGAAAATCTAATGCGTCGAGCCATCAGCCAGTGGCGGCAACAGTCCGTCTCACTATCCCAGCTGGCGGAGCAAAACCTGGACCATTGGTAGTAGGTCAGTACAAAGACAATGCTTGCACCTAGAAATAGAAATCGGAAGCCCTGGTCGCTGCTATTGTGATTGATTTCAATGACAAACTTTTGAGATGAGTGTTCATTTCTCTTTAGTGACCCGATTTCTTAAAAAAGTAAATGGAATTAACTCCGGGAGTGGGCATTTAGGTCATGTTGTTGCATCACCCATAACCCTAAAACACATATATGAAATCGTAAAGGTGAAGCAAGCAGATCCGCATTGTCTGTACATGTCACTGGAGGCAATTTCAAAATCAATTATATGTACGAATAAATCGCAATGAACGTTTTGGAGTGATTTTTCTTGCTCGTCCATCCAGAGTCTGATTTCTTCTACATCGATCCTCACCTTAAATGGTTCAACAACTGCAACTCCTCTCGATTGTAGTGCCGATCAACAAGTACGACTCATCAACTGCCAATTGAAGCTACCAGTTCAATGACCCCTAATCGATAACTACATGGATACGGTACTTGTTGGCTATTCAATTCTATTCATCTTAATTTCCCGTTTCATATATGTTTTTCATTAGTTCTTTACTTGTATAATCAACCACTTTCTCCCAAAGATGAAAACATTGTTTCTCCAAATCCTTCTCCAGATGTAGCCCTCACAGGGTCCATGGGAAATATATCTAACTACTTATTGGGAGAGCATCATTGAAAGCCTAAATGGTGTTCTTGATACATTAAAATAATTCGATGTAAGTTTTTTTTTAAAGCTATAATGAGGACTCTCATTTGTGTCTTCGTGTTTTCAGTTGCCACCTGTCATTAGGGTGTATTTCCGGTAATTTGATTTGCTAGACTTGATTAATGATTGAATGACGCATTCATATTCTTCGTGCTCATGAGTTTGAGGAACATGCGGGTGGAAAAACTAGGTACCCTTATAATCACATATATCTGAAGAAACGTAGTTGGTTCATCTGTTAATGAAGAATTCCTTCAAGTTTGGAAAGGTGAGACTGATAGCATTTTTGTTATTTATAGATGAAAGGCTTTTATTACTTCTTTTTGTTACATTTTCTTGTAATCTGCAGGGGGTCTTCAAGGAAACATGGACATGGGTAAAATAAACAACAATCATCATATGACGCTTATAAACTTGTTCCATGATTTGCCTACTGATGATAATTGGTATTGGCTTGGAGTTGGTGTCTTGTTACTTTATGATTTGGCTTTCAATATCATACTGACTCTCAGTTTGGCTTATCTTAATCTTAAGTGTCACTTATTCATATTTCCATCTCTTACATTTTTTTTGGAAGTCTGGTGATATGGGCATATTTAGTTATAAAATTTATGCATTATCGTAATACTTTATGTTGATTTTATCTCATTTAATGAAAAAAAGGTTCTTAATTAGTTTATAATTTCATTTTCAGTAACAATTACATGCTCGTATGGAAAAGGAAGCGGAACTAGAGATTGGAAGCTTGGATCTTGGATTTTGAAGAAAGAAGGGTGTTGCTGGACAGCTTGACCCATCTTCAGTGTTTTGGTCATATCTCATAAACCGTAACTCCAATTGACAAGATTCAAAATGTTCTAAAAACTAGACATAATTTTGGACGACTTTCGTGTTTTGAGAAAATGATGATTCCAAACGTACTCGACGAGTCACTTCAAACTTTCGCGATTCTGGACGTGCTGTACACGGGTTTTAAGTTACAGACTCGCTGAGTAGGTCAATGGACTCGCCGAGTAGCCCCTATTTTGTGAAAATATATATAAAGGGACTTTCATATCGATACCCGAGGAGATAGATGAACTCTTGGAGGCTAATTGCCGACTAAAGGTGCTGCTGGAGCGTGGGAAACTAAGGAATCAACCCTACATTCAATTTTAAGGAGAATCAAGTCAAAATCAAGTTTACTCTTACCTAATCTCTTGTTTGAACTATGTTTTTACCAATTGATTTCGTTTTTGAGCTTGTTTCTGTTGTAATCATGAGCTAAAACTCATAACTTTTGTTTAGGTAGATGAATTTGTGAACATGGATTGATTATTTGATTAGGATTAATTTTAATTGGTGATTATGTTTTATTAAGCTTGTTAAAGAACCTTATGTGTTAACAATAACTATTCTTCTGTTAATAAATCAGTAATTAAGTTGTATGAACATCTCTTAGTTATTAATTTCATATGATTTATTGTGACCACATAGTTATATGTCTAGGAATAGCGAATGTGAAACTAGAATTAACTAGAAGATAGGTAAGGTAATGTGTGAGCTTGTTTGATGAACATCAATAAGAGGTTAATTGAAGGGCCAATTTAATTAACCATTACAAGTCTTATTTAACCCGAATCAATAACTAGGAAATCCGTTAATTTAGACAACTGGCCACTGCATGAGTTAATTTGTTTCCTAAGGATTAGTAATAGCGAACGTGAAACTAATCATCTTAGTTGGTAGCCAATGAAGAATTAATCCGATTCATTGAAATCATCCATGGGAACAAATGAGTCGAACCTAAACAGAAGTCCTCTTTATTATTGAATTTAGTTGATTTTTATTTGCTTAGCTCTTAGTTTCTTAGTTTAAGTTTTAGTTAATTGTTTAAGTTTCTAGTCTTGCAATAGCGAACGTAAAACTAATCATCTTAGTTGGTAGCCAATGAAGAATTAATCCGATACATTGAAATCATCCATGGGAACAAATGAGTCGAACCTAAACATAAGTCCTCTTTATTATTGAATTTAGTTGATTTTTATTTGCTTAGCTCTTAGTTTCTTAGTTTAAGTATTAGTTAATTGTTTAAGTTTCTAGTCTTGCAAAAGTAGAGAAACCCCCTTTCTATTACTTGTTTTATTTAGATAATATTAGCATTTCTTTTAATTGTTGTCGTTCCCTGTGTTCGATACCCTACTTACCTGAACTAAACTGCTAATCGATAGGTACATTGTCTTTCGTGTGTTCATCTTTGTGTTTAAGTTAGTAGGATTAAAACTAGTTTATTTTACACACATCATCTGGTAACTATTTTAATTCGTATCACAACTCTAAAAGTCCACATATAGTTCCACCTGATACCGGAGAAAAAAATTCAACAAATTCCACATGTTAAATTACTCTTACAGTTACGTGCTTTAAAATTAAAGTATATACTTGTATACTCTCTCCTTCCAAAAAAAATGAAACTTTTTTCTTTTTGGGTTATCCTGAAATTATTTTTATAAGCTATATGATGTTGCAATTTACATTATGAAGGGAGTATATGTTAAAAAAAACCTCCAATTTGCAATTTGCATCTTAACTGGTCATGCAGCTGGCAACCAGGCACCACCTGCTAACTTTTCATAATGTCAATTACTTTTTTTTGACATTTCAAATGTATGGCTTCCACCATTCCATGAACAATTAGGTGGCTAGCATTAGAAATCTACTTTTCATAATGTCAATTACTTGACTTTTTCCAGGACATGAATTTGGAAGGTGTACCAGAAACAGAAAGGAAGCTGCAACTGTTGTCAGAGTATTAGTACAACAGTAATCTATAGTTTTGATTGACTTTCATGATTATCATACTTTTTCCCTTGATCAAAGATGTAAATATTGTTTGTTAGGTAGTAGGATGAATGTTTGTGTTTTCTGGAATCCGAGATTTGTGATTTTGATGATACAAAATTGGATCACTAGCCTAAAATGTTTTCGTGATGCAATTTCTTCCATATTAGTTGATTATGCTCTTCTTTTTAGCTATTTCCTTGTATTAATTGAAAGGATATAAGCATGTTGTTGTTCATAAATTTGTTGTCGGGTTGTTGCTTGAGCTCAGCAATGAATTGTTTATTTGTGACAACCTTTCAAGTTGATATTATTTTGGATTACATATAATGGATGATTCAGAGGGAAGTCTTATTAATACTCCTACAAATGAATAGATAGTTGGTGGTGGTGGTTTCCTCTCCAGTCTCATGGAAGACAAATACAATGCCGCAGTTGCAGTTACTTTCACCATTGTTGTTTCACTGGTTCTTTCTTCCATGTTCCTGGGGAAGAAAAAAGTGAAACAAAGTGGTGTTCTTGATTCTTGATTCTTATTGTAATGCTCTTTGTTATTCATTAGACTTGGAATGATCTAAAAAATATGCAGCTTAACTATAATGGTAGATAAAGAAAAGTATATGTTTGTTGGAAAATGTTGATCTAGAAGAGTCTTATGCCAATTTAGATCTTGTTCATAGCTCAGTTTATTTTTTTCTCTGTATGTTTATGATATTATTTTACTATATATATTTATAATTGAGCTTGGTTTTTTAAAGCATGTAACTCTTCCAAGGTGGGCAGTTTGAGATTGGTTTTTTAAAGCAGATAACTCTTCCAACTATTACATATGCATTTGGTATAAGAAACTCTATAATGCTTAATTTATCATATTGCTATATGAATTTACGTTATCGTCTCAATGTGAAACTGCTTAGAGATGATCACTACTGATAATAGTGCTAAATAGTTTTTTTTTAAGATCAGTGTTAGATATAGAGTGGTAGTGAATCTAATATCTAAACTTTCTTAACCATTTGAATCTTGCTGAAAGAATCAACGCAATGTAGGAATAGAAGTGAATATTGGGTTATGTAGAAAGAAACAATTAAAATGGAACTAAGATTCTAAGGGGTCTTTTGGTCTAAGGGATTTTCAAGGATTTTGATGAAATCCGATACAAGCTCTTTGTTTGCTAAAAAAAAAAAAGAAGAATAGGATTTTAATCCTAAAAAATTGTTTATGGGATTTCATAATTCCCCCTGATGATCAAATATTTTGAAATCCATGAATGTAGGATTTCATAGAAAAATCCTTTAACAAATCAACATTAGTTATAATTAGGAATGGTGGCTCTCTATTTTATTTCATCAAAAGAAAATATTTCACTCAAATTCTTAAAATTAATACGTTAATTATAAATAATTTGTGTCCGATGGTGAGAAAATGGTAAAATAATATTTCTATTTTTTTTTTTTTTTTTTTAACTTTTAGTATCCTCTTTTAGGTCACAAGTGTCAAGTTTGTGTCCGGTTGTGAGTTGGTTGTTACTGGTTTAACTGATAAAATAAGTTTAATCCTTTTTTTCATTTTCCTTCTTTACCTGTGTTTATAAATACATAATATATTCACATTATAATAAATAAATTTTGCATTGAAATTAAAGTTACTTGTTTATTTATTTGCAGACAGTAAAAATGTGGCAAGGGTCTGAAAATGGAAACTATGATTGTAAGCATGTCTTAAAGGATCATACATGCGAGGTACTTAATTATTATTTTGATTATATCATTTTACTTAAGAGTAACAATAATAAATTTTTTTTTTTTTTTTATTTAGTATATGGATTGTTTAACAGAGGCAAGCTACAACTGTTCATGCTATAAATAACTACTTTGTAACAGCTTCTTTAGACTACTCCTGGTGCTTATATGAGCTTTCATCTAGTTTATGCCTTGCACATGTTTTTATTTTTTTTACATAAAAAAAAAGTATATTGTGACAATGTATAATGTAGTGAAATATAGTACCATATTTTTATTTTTTCATATCACAACATTCTATTTATGAAAAGACTACCCAGTTATAGTATTGTCATCCAAATACAAAGCAATTGGATTTTGCTTTTTCAAAGTACAATGTACTAGTAATTAAAAAAAAAAAAAAAGTATGATGGCTATAATTGGATTTTTTTTAAAGAATAATGCCTTGTTAAGATTTTTTTTTTTTTTTTTTTTTTTTTTTTTTTTTTTTTTGCTATAATAGAAAGCATGAAAGTAAGATGCTATAATGGGAGAATTTTCAAAACAAAATGCCCTAACAAGGAAAAATTTGGAAGGACAATGTTGTAATTGTGTAAATTTTTAGAGTACAATATGTTAATAAGATTTTTTTTTTTTTTTTTTTTGAAAACACGGTGCTTTAATAGAAAGAAATGAAAGTGGGATGCTATAATAAACAAATAAATGAATGTACATTGCTATTTTTCAAGGCATCATACTTTAATTTTTTTTGTAGCTAAACTTGATTGTGTGATTAATAAGAGCTTTTTTTTGTTTCAGCTAATGTTCAAGTCATTACTTGCCATCCATGCCTAGTGGACAGCAGCTCAGTACACCAGGTGTCAAACAATGATATGGAGGATTTTTATGACATGATATATGAAACAAGAAGGTGCCCCTTTATAGCAATATAGTATTAGATTATATAGTTAGGGAAAACGTCTTAACAACAATGTACAATTAGATCCCTTCAATATCAATGTATTACAATTTTTTGACATGATG